AATGGAAGCTCTCCAGTCACTCTAGAGCCACCCACTCCTGATTTTTTCTAGGGTGCTCATCGAATCTGTGACAAACAGGGCATGTTTATGCGCTTCCATACTGATCTATTCCAGCGCCTCTGTAATTGCTTTAACCTCCATTACCATGCTCGATGTAGTGCACTCGTAGGCTCCAGACTAGTCTCCAATTATCCTTCTGTCAACTCGAGCTCTGAACGCCCACCCAGATTTCTGGCGTCGCTTCACTGATCAGTCGGTGAAGACGACAACATCACCCATCACTGAAATTTTCTCAAGGATGGTCACAATTTCCGCATCAGTTGCATTTGCTGGCCACTCGCGACACTCTCGACCTAGCGTAGCTATCGCCTTCATGAAGTTTCTCATGTCTTTCTCCGGCCTCATCCAGTCACATTCTCATGTTTCAGGGTCGATCTTTGGACGTCCTGTTTGATTTCAACTGTTCGATTGTTGGTGGATCGTTCCCCACACTCTGTTAAAACCCTCTAAAGGTGAAAATGGGGGGGGGGGGTGACCATTTATTTGTAAATTTTGGGCTTATAAGGCGTTCCCTAAACCTTTCTTGCAACCATATCGGCGCCACTCTTGATGTGTGGGTTGTAGCCCCATCCCACTGGCACCAGGCCTGTGACGCACAACACATTCTCCTCCCCAAAATTCTACAAAACTTTCTTGGCACGTTTAGATAATATGTATCTGAGGTGACTGGTGTGGTTTTACTGTCCGTGTCTTGAAACCAAGATGGGCCGATCATGCCCCTGGGCTGGAAGGTGTATGCAAAGTAAAATTTTGTGTTCTACCCAATTTTGGTTGGAATTTTTAAAACTTTATATTTCTCGACTTGATTGATATTCTTCATATCTACAAACTTGACGTCCTTATGGTTGAATTTTATTAGTTCGAAATTTGTTGAAATTAGTGTAAAGATGATCAAGTTATTACTGGTAAGGTGGGTCCTCTTTTTTCAGACACACTGTACAAACACACATATTATGCACACAGGCACACGCACACACACACACACACACACACAC